AACTTGGATAATATGATTCATTCATTTCTCTGAATGAGTTAGGTTCACTCAGAAGTTAATTTCTATTCATAAATTACTTCAATGGCCCCAAATTTGTGATTTTAATCTGCATGATCTCATTCATGATGAATAGTTTAGCCGGGTAATGCAGATGCCGGAATATAGCATGTAAAACATCAACAGAATATTTGCTGGGATATCAAATATTTTCAAAAGAAATATATGCAAAATATTCCATACTTTTGACCGCGATAAAAACTTACAAAACGTTAATATCTTCGTAAAACTGCACGTTTATCAATGATCGCACTAATTATTTTACGTAAATATTTAATTGTGCTTCAATATATGCGCATCTTTATATATCTTTATTTTTAGCAGTGCAGGCAACAGTCGCAAAAATGAATGGGTCAAATTGTCCGAATAATGAAAAACTTGCTGCACGTAGCACTGATACGCCATTTGATACGCCAAGAGGAAAAAGAAGTGCATCGCAACTTGGACAAAGTCTCTAAATTTTTCTGAGTTCAGACTTCGAAGTTTTCGAACTTTTTACGATCGCAGCGCATCGTTTGGAGGCCGCGTACTGTCACTGCGCACAACTCATGACTCATTTACTTAATGATAATTAATTATTTACTCGTAAGTATTTAGTTATCTTTCGATCAATGAGAAGTAATCAAAAACGAATCTCCAAAGATAACTGATCAATGATAACTTATCAGTGATAACTCATCAATGATAACTCAATGATCAATCATCAATGATAATTCATCAATGATAACTCATCAATGATGAATCATCAATTATAATTCATCAATTATCACTCATCAATGATTACTCAAATGATAACTCATCAATGATAACCACAACAATAACAGCAAGATCAGTAGCAGCAATATGAACAATGACAATAGCAGCAGTAACAAAAACTGCTGCCATTAAGCGGTGGTAGTAAAATAACTTCAATTCAATGAAAACTACAAGCGAAAAAAAAATAGCAAAATATCTTGCAATTTTGCTGCCTCACTAACTACTGCAGTGAACTTAACATGAATTGTGCAGGTATTAACACGTTGACCACGAAGTGGTACATATGCGTACCACGAAATGTATTTCTCCAGGAGGTAGTGGTACATGATTCAGGTTGCCTTAAATCGGCCAAATCCGAGAACAAAAAAGGCCAAAAAGGCCGATAATTCAATATATACTAGTTTATTTGTAGGTTCCGCTATAAAAATTCCATTTATTTTCTTTTTGCACTATTTAAAATTTAATTAGGAAGTACCCCTATCATAAATTTCAGCCGGCCAACGCAATTGAGAAAAAATAAATCACGGAATTTGTCCGGAAAAAATAACCGTATGGCAACCCTGCTTAAAAAAAAGTACAAAAAATGAAATAATTGTACAAGATGAAGCAATCGTAGTCAGCGTATTAAGGATTATTTCTAAAATTATGGCGATTAAAATTATTACGATAACGAATTACTATCATTCATTCAGCGATAAAGAACAGCAGCAGCAGCGACGACAACAAAGTACTAAGAATTATAAGCCATAACTATTACTAAGTTATAACTAGGGTAAAACTAAGCTATTTATTTCGCATATAAGATCTTTGGTAACAATAATAGCCCTCCGTTAACACCAACGATACGAGAACTGGTAAAATTTCAACAGATAAATAAATTTCAACTACATTAAGAATGCATTTCAAAAATATGAGCATCCGAAAAATCATCAGCGAAAACTAGACGAAGGGAAGTTTGCACGTCAATGACATTGCCATGTCAAAGCCAACAATTTGTGTTCAAAATGTACCGTCGGGAAAATGAGAAAACATTCTAGACTAAATCAGCCGCGATTCAAAAAATTGCTACAAAAAAGGCACCTCAATTTGTTGGCACGCGCCACCGACGCAGGCACCACTAAAACCATGCACCTCCCTGAGCTATGCGTAAAATATGCGCAAGCGCTCACGAAAATCTCTGAGCGAAACATGCATAAACGCAGTGCAAAGACGTCTTTGATCTGCACAGATGCCGCACTAAGTAATAACACAGGCAAGAAGCTGGCATTCTGCTGCTGGAACATCAACCAGAGTAGCTGGTATTATACTATACCTTGCAACACTAGTTTACTTTTGCTAGTATATATGTTCACTGATATACGATGATTTTTTAAAAGATAGTTTCAATTATCTTAAATGAGATTTCTAACTTCAATTCCAATATATACGCTCATTTGAATTCTCTTACGGTGAGAAAACCTTTATTTATTATGATGCCTGGAAATTACGACATGTTCAAGTTTCGCATATCCAGATCAGAATCACTGTGTTTATTCCAATATTTTACAGGTATTTGAATCTTGCAGAAGTCAAAACCCTGTTTAGTGCAGGTATTTGAACCCAGCAGATGTCAAAACCCAGTTTTATGCAGGTATTTGAACCTAGCAGAAGTCAAAACCCAGTTTTATGCAGGTATTTGAACCTAGCAGAAGTCAAAACCCAGTTTTGTACTGTTTAGTGCAGGTATTTGAACCCAGCAGAAGTCAAAACCCCAGTTTTGTGCCGGTATTTGAATCTTGCAGAAGTCAAAACCCTGTTTAGTGCAAGTATTTGAACCCAGCAGAAGTCAAAACCCGAGTTTTGTGCCGGTATTTGAACCTTGCAGAAGTCAAAACCCAGTTTTGTGCAGGTATTTAAATCTTGCAGAAGTCACAACCCAGTTTAGTGCAGGTATTTGAACCTTGCAGAAGTCAAAACCCTGTTTAGTGCAAGTATTTGAACCCAGCAGAAGTCAAAACCCCAGTTTTGTGCCGGTATTTGAACCTAGCAGAAGTCACAACCCAGTTTAGTGCAGGTATTTGAACGTTGCAGAAGTCAAAACCCAAGTTTTGTGCAGGTATTTGAACCTTGCAGTAGTCAAACCCCCAGTTTTGTGCAGGTATTTGAACCTTGCAGAAGTCAAAGCCCAGTTTTGTGCAGGTATTTGAACCTTGCAGCAGTCAAACCCCCAGTTTTGTGCAGGTATTTGAACCTTGCAGAAGTCAAAACCCAAGTTTTGTGCAGGTATTTGAACCTTGCAGTAGTCAAACCCCCAGTTTTGTGCAGGTATTTGAACCTTGCAGTAGTCAAACCCCCAGTTTTGTGCAGGTATTTGAACCTTGCAGAAGTCAAAACCCAGTTTTGTGCAGGTATTTGAATCTTGCAGAAGTCAAAACCCTGTTTAGTGCAGGTATTTGAACGTTGCAGAAGTCAAAACCCAAGTTTTGTGCAGGTATTTGAATCTATGAAGTTTTATCACAGTTTTACGTATCGAACTATGCATAAGCCTGAAATCCATTTCCCTTCGTCCTGATGGCACAACTGCACAAACATGAGGCGCAGTGCGAGCTCGCAGCACTCAGCTGAGCTCCCACTCAGCCCCCTCATGAATATTTGGCGGCCTAAGAAACCTTGAATGTTTGGTGGCCTAAGAAAACTTGAATATTTGGCGGCCTAAGAAAACTTGAATATTTGGCGGCCTAAGAAAACTTGAATATTTGGCGGCCTAAGAAAACTTGTGGACGTGTTAGTTTTGTCGGAAGAGCAATGCAAGTGTCACAACTTTCTCGGGCTCGGAAGTGGAAAGTTAAGGTATGCATTATTCCGAGTGATTCATCAAAAGTGTTAGCTGGGTGTGTGATGAAACTGATATGTTTTTTCAAACTAGTAACAAGAAACTATTCAGCGATTCATATACATAATGCGTGCGAAGTTAAATTTTAAGAATAAAGGTATATTTAATGAATTAGTCAATTAAAAACAGGGAAAACTGTATATTAGTACGATTTTGTGCTTAGTTCATTCGAGTATATAGGTCTATAATAGCACTAAAAGTTCAATAAAAATTGCATATGAATCAATGTGCAAAACGTAACAGAAAGATGCATGTTATTAGGAAATTCAAGGGGTACCCAGGTAATTTAAAAACTTTGTTCATAGACTTGATAGGAGATACTTGAAAGTTAATTTTAATATTTTGCGGATACAAAAAGCTAAAAAGCAGAAATACTGAGACAGAGCAAAGTTCAAAGGGGAGCGATCGCTCTAGCCTGCATAACATACGAAGGGAAATAGAGTCTGGCTTCCGTTCCTTAGCTTGCACACACGAGGGAACTTGCCCTACCCCTCACACTGCCTGCATCACGAGGGAACTTGCCCTACCCCTCGCACTGCCTGCATCACGAGGGAAGAAGTTGTCCCAAGTTACGACATGTGTTCCCAAGAGGGAGTCGTAGGACGGTCACAGCAGAACAATATCATAAGTTACGACACTCATACGCTGACATCGAGCCTCATGCAGAGATATCGTATTCGACATGCAAGCATTTGGGCATATCCTTGAAGAGCGCAGCAATTCTGTGATGTTATATTTGTCTGACGTTGTCAACAAGAAACATGACCTTCCAGAGCTTCACTTTCTCAAACAGGCTCAAGATACGTCGTGACTTTACAATATGTTGCCAGCGTGGATCACGTTGAAACGATTTAAAATGTCTTTGATTGACGTTAACGAGGGCCTGTACGAAACGGGTAGCGCTGAAACGTCACTAACCGTATTTGATTGACATTAATGTTAATCTAATGTGAAGGTGCAAACAACTCCAATGTGATAATTTCGATTGTGGGCTAATGCGTCAGTAAATAAAACATTGAAATATATGCACAAATAGCGAGCACCGGCTGACCGGCTGATAGTGTGTTAGCGATGATTTACCTTGGCAGGGTGAGTAATGTGGTATTGGATGTAATCAATTTACATCCAATTTAATTAGGTTAATCAATTTACGGAGCTTTCCTGGACAAATCAGCTGTGCCGAGCTCACCTGTCTCGTTTGTCCTGGACAAATCAGCAGTGCTGAGCTCACCTGTCTCGTCTGTCCTGGACAAATCAGCTGTGCCGAGCTAACCTGTCTCGTCTGTCCTGGACAAATCAGCTGTGCTGAGCTCACCTGTCTCGTCTCGCCTGCCGGGCAGGACCTCGTAGCTGTCCCAGGCAGTCACGGGACACGGGCTCTTGTCACAGGACACGTTGGACACCGCGCGCGGGGGGTCGTCGCCCCCGCGGGAGAAACTCAACTCGATGCCTCCGTCCAGTGGAAACCGCAGGTCTGGGGGATAAAACCAGAATAAAAGAAGAAGAATGTCCGTCTTGGCATGAGAAACAATGAGACTGGTGAACAAGTTGAAAAATAACAATGACGGCTTTATAATAAACGCATATATACCTTTGGAAAGCGAATTCCCTCTAGTCATTCGAGCTCGCAGAACAATTTAGTCAATAGAACACTTTGTACTCCATTCTGTACTTATATAATCAGTATTGATATATAACGTTCGCATGTTAGCGTCAGCACAAATAAGCCTCATAGGCTATGTTGTATGTATGACAGCCTCATAGGTTATGTTGGCCAGTCGCCGATTCTTAACCACCTATTCACCTTACAATTCATTTCACGCTTTGAACCTCTAATCAGATTCCACGCATACAATCTTTGCGATTTAAAACATCATTGCGATCAGATCACTCACCATTACACGCGTCGTCGAGATCAAGTCTACTGAAGCCGAGGACTTTTTCACTAACGGCGCAGGTGTGAAACTGCGCCCTGAAGACCACCTCCCTGGAGGGCGGTGGACCCAGTCTCCGGTGGTAGGCTTTGAGAAGAACGTCCCCACGCAGCTGTATGCCGCTGACGCGGGCGTTGTTCTGTGAGGTGTTGGAGGACTTGTGTTGTTCTAAGACGATGGTGACGTAGCGCAGGCCTTCTGTGATCTGGTAGACGCCTGACGTGTAGACGTGCGTCATACCCTGGTATACCTGGCATGACATAGGCAGGAGAGACATGGGTTATTATTTGTAAGGGTCGTTGCTGGTAAGGGTTATAAGTAACTGATAAGGGTTATTACTGGTAAGATTATTATTGGTAAGGGTCATTGTTGGTAAGGGTTATAAGTAACTGATAAGGGTTATTACTGGTAAGATTATTATTGGTAAGGGTCATTGTTGGTAAGGGTTATATCTAATAAGAGTTTTCACTTGTAAGATTAAAATTGGTAAGATTATTATTGGTAAGGGTTATCGATGACACCAATTATAAATGACGAAGGTTATTACTGAAAAGGATTTGGTAAAATTCAATATAGATTGTACGTATTGCGGTGCTTGCATTGTAAACGAAGGAATTATAAATTATATGCGAGAAATAATTGCAAACTTGAACTTGCAATGTAACCTGCATAAATTAAAAGGTGGTTTTTAATATTGAAGAGAGTGGTTACTCTAAACAAGGTATTTTCAATATCCATGATAGAATATAAATTATTTGCGACGGAACATGATTATAGACGTAGTTGCAATTGTATGATGAGATTAGGACTAGAAGAAACAACATAATAATTCATTTACAGAAAAATATCTATATATATTAAATTATTCATTCATTATTTAAGATCATTAAGGAAACATCATAGGAGGTCTGGCTCGCAATAACGATATGTGCAATACTCACAAAATACTCACCGTAAGCTGAGGTAAGATTGGCCCTTAAGTGCAACATTGGCCCAAAGTTAGGAAAAGTTTTCTTGTGTTGTAGTTTGATCATGTGATAAGTTAACAACATAGTTCAGTGCAGTAGTGTTATCATGTGATAAGTTAACAACATAGTTCAGTGCAGTAGTATGACCATGTGATAAGTTAACAACATAGTTCAGTGCAGTAGTATGACCATGTGATAAGTTAACAACATAGTTCAGTGCAGTAGTGTTATCATGTGATAAGTTAACAACATAGTTCAGTGCAGTAGTATGACCATGTGATAAGTTAACAACATAGTTCAGTGCAGTAGTGTTATCATGTGATAAGTTAACAACATAGTTCAGTGCAGTAGTGTTATCAGGTGATAAGTTCTCATCATAGAGGGCTTATCTTACCTCAGCAGACGCCATTATAAAAATATACCTTATAGAATAAATACCTTAATATCTTGACAATCTACCTCGATTCCTTGAGATCTGTACTTTGATAGCTTGAAAAATATCTGCCGGTTCAATAAAAATCTCTGCATTATAATAAATACCTTGATGAAGAGATGACATCCGCCTCTGGACTCGAAGTGTGGCACGCCGTACAGCGTCAGGGTGTGTAGGAATAAAGGGTTCGAGTTGATCCTTATCAAGCCAGATAAGAGACCCGAGAAATACTGCACGTATCTGTAATGAAATCACAGTATTGTATAGAACAGGCATCACAGTATTGTATATTGTTGAATATTGTGTGGCACATTCACAGTCGGGTCAAAATAATGAGCAAGAATTTAACATATTAAGCTTAAGTTATGAAATTTTATCTAATTTGCATTTTTAAAATATTAGAATTCAATTTTAGAATGGTTTTTACGGACAGTGTATAAGAAAATGGCTTGATGTTACGAATAAATCATATACACAACTGCAACATTAAAACTAATTTCAGCTCGTGACGGAGAAAGGCTGGATGAAAATTCTGCTGTTAGTTTTATAGATGTGATAATGAATTTAAATTTATGCTATAAATAATGACAATTAACCTCATTTAACGGCAATGAGGTTAGACAGATATTGCCAAAAACTAATCTTAATAATGTAAATGATGAAATCATGCATTTCCAAGAAAAAATTTAAGCTTTCATATGTATGGTGATGTAAGTAACAGTGAGAAGATCTGTCATCGAGCTTTAGTGATAAAAATAAAATGAAAACCAGTGTAAATGTATTCTAATTAAGTAGCAGGCGAGGATTGTTAAGAGTTAGGAAAACAAGTTTTGTGTAAATAAGATAAATTATCTGCCATCGGAGCAATAAAATGAAATTAAACTATTCAAGACTGTAGGGCAATTGAAATCGAAATTTGAAATTGGAACTCTAATGAGGCACTTGAAATTGAGAAAAATCACGTTCCCTTCCCCAGTCACGAGTACGGAGGATCGATGAGAGCAAACACTTCAAAGAGTAAAGAACAAAACATTTCTGGTGGGAAAGCTTTTCGATTAACGTCAATTCATAGTAAAAACTTTCACAGTAAATACATGTTTTACCATTTTATGCCATATTCTAGAAATATTCAATTTTGAATTCGATTTTACCGTTATGTTAGATTCTAGAAAAATTCAATTGCGAATTAGACCTTCTCTGTTTTTTGAAAAAATTCAACAGGGCCCAGATTTCGGGAAAACTATCACTCTTCTAATCACATTTATGGGAACAATTCAAATATATTTCAAGTTTGGACTAAAATCTCTCACTGTTATGGAAAGAAATTTCCAGTACGTTGAATATTGATAAAACCCCCACCGTTTTTGTGAAGGATGATAAAGTTGGCCGATCTTATCATCGAAGAATCTCTTCATGGCATAGCGGTCCAGGGCGGTGTCAGTGGACGCACAGATGTTCGTGTAGTGCATGTAGGCGGCAACCACCACGCCAAGCTTCTCGTAGCCTTCTCTGTAGGGAGCATCAATGTTAATACGGATCGTGATCATGAATTGCGTTGAAAAACATGTTTAATATAAATACGATATTTTTAATGTCTTAGTCGTAATTATCGCTTGTATATGTAAATAATTAATTATATTTTCAATATCGTGAAGCCTTCTCTGTAGGGGAGCATCAACGTTAATACGGATCGTGATCATGAATTGCGTATGAAAACATGTTTAATATAAATACGATATTTTTAATATCTTAGTCGTAATTATCGCTTGTATATGTAAATAATTAATTATATTTTCAATATCGTGAAGCCTTCTCTGTAGGGGAGCATCAATGTTAATACGGATCGAGATCATGAATTGCGTTGGAAAACTTGTATAATACAAATACGATATTTGTAATATCTTGGTCATAATCACCACTTTTATATGTAAATAATTAATTATATTTTCAATATCGTGAAGCCTTCTCTGTAGGGGGCATCAACGTTAATACGGATCATGATCATGAATTGCGTAGGAAACATATTTAATATAAATACGATATTTTTAATATCTTAGTCATAATCATCGCTTGTATAGGTAAATACTTTACTATATTTTCAATACGGAACGTGATCATTGATTGCACATGTAGATAATATACCTAAAAATATTTTCAACATTATGATTGCAATCACGGCTTGCAAATATAAATAATGCAGGATATTTTAAATATATCGCGCAATACGGTGACATGCTGAGCACTAACCTGTCGTGCAGCACGGCGACATGCTGAGCACTAACCTGTCGTGCAGCACGGCGACATGCTGGACATGCTGAGCACTAACCTGTCGTGCAGCACGGCGACATGCTGAGCACTAACCTGTCGTGCAGCACGGCGACATGCTGGTTGTTCGCTGCTAGCCAGGACTCGAGCGCCTTGCACACGGCGCAGAGCTTCTCCAGCGCGGGGGCCAGCAGCGGCGGCCACCCCAGCTCCGTGACCCGCGGCAGATAGTGGCTTACCTCGCCCTGGTGCCACGACAGGTTGAACACCTGCAAGCAGGAGAGGCTGAACACCTGTAAGATGGAGAGGCTGAACACCTGCAAGCAGGAGAGGCTGAAAACCTGCAAGAAGAAGAGGCTGAACACCTGCAAGAAGAAGAGGCTGAACACCTGCAAGCAGGAGAGGCTGAACACCTGCAAGCAGGAGAGGCTGAGCACCTGCAAGCAGGAGAGGCTGAACACCTGCAAGCAGGAGAGGCTGAACACCTGCAAGCAGGAGAGGCTGAACACCTGCAAGCAGGACAAGGGACAGGTTCAACACTTGCGAGTATGAGAATTCCAACACCTGCTAGAAGGAAAAATTAAATCGCTAATAGGTAGAATGAAATTTGTTGTAGGAGTAACGGAATCGGTTGTAGGAGTAATGGAATCGGTTGTAGGACTAATGGAATCGGTTGTAATAGTAATGGAATCGGTTGTAATAGTAATGGAATCGGTTGTAGGAGTAATGGAATCGGTTGTAGGAGTAACGATATCGGTTTTGGGAAGAATATAATCGGTCGTGGGAATAGTCAATACAGTTCTAAGAATATTTGGATGGATGTAGGAATAATTGAATCGCTTTCAGGCTTATCGAATCAGCCACAGGAATATGTAAATTTCAGATTCAGGCAAGGAGCACAGCGTCCGCGATGCAGTCCCCTGGGTCTCAACATCGGCCAGAGTTGGGCAGCAATTTTTCTTCAGCTTCGATTACATGCTTTGAAATTCACGAAGGCTCCTGTATTAGTTTGCTTCACAATTTCAATGCCAGCTGAAACTTATGCATTCTCAAGTGCTCAAAGTCTTAAGTTGAAGCATTGCTGAAGCTCGCTGAAGTCCAGCGGTGCGTTTAGGATTCAGGAGATGAATACGAATGCTCCTAAAGTAAAACCACTTGCCGTCCTGGACAGAAATACAAATAAATATTTTATCTTAGAGGCCCCAGTCTCTTCGGAGTATTGATAGAGATCACATAAATTGCAGGGATCCCAAGTGAAAGAAAAAATGCATTCATTCTTACCAAACGGTAAATTATTTGTCGTCAACGGCCTCAGGGTTAAAAAAAATAGAATTCAAAGAAGTATTAAGAGCCCAGCGACGTGCGAAAGTTAGTTTCGGTTTACATATTGAGCGATCCGATACGTCAACTTTCGCTCCGGTTGTAGTTCATATTTCATGTAGTTCCTATATGAACTACGCTTGTAGCTCGTAAAATTGACGGCTTTGTTGGTACTGGAAAATCGTTCTCGGGAGTGGAGAGAGTTCGACGTTCTAGGTCAGTATTCTCGAACGATCATTATCGTATTTCTGTTTGAACAAACTTGGCTGCTGCAAGACCATTGATGGCCAAGTACCGGAAAAAAATTGCCTGAGATAGAAAGAAATTGCTTGTAAATTTCCCTCCGTTTAGCGTCCAAATGAGCCCAGAATTCCATGAAGCCGAACAACGCAGGAGCTTTTCAGTGTATTCTTCTTTAGACGGGGACAAACGAGCTCGCGCGTCGCTCTACACGGAAGTGAACAATTCTGCAGCCTTCCTTCCTGCCTCGCGTATTATTTCTTTCTGGGGAAGAGGGTTTAGGAAACGACCGTCGGCCTGAGCGATGCGTTAAAGAGCAACTACCGCGACGCGACAGACTGCATCACGGCAGTGCACCTGGCGGCTACCGGGACACGCCTACCGTGCACCTGATGGTGTGGTGCAGTGCACCTGGCGGCTACCGGGACACGCCTATGGTGCACCTGATGGTGTGGTGCAGTGCACCTGGTACACGCCTACCGTGCACCTGATGGTGTGGTGCAGTGCACCTGGCGGCTACCGGGACACGCCTACCATGCACCTGATGGTGTGGTGCAGTGCACCTGGCGGCTACCGGGACACGCCTACGGTACACCTGACGGTATGGTACAGTGCACCTGGCGGCGACGGGACACGCCTATGGTGCACCTGATGGTGTGGTACAGTGCACCTGGATCACGCCTACCATGCGCCTGATGATGTGGTACAGTGCACCTGGATCATGCCTAGCATGCACCTGACGGTATGGTGCAGTGCACCTGAAACATGACTACGGTGCACCTGACAATATGTTGTGTGCTACAAACTTTCACTGTCGTTCGGCATCACATTTCGGCGATTTGCGAAATTGGGACAAAACCCCTTCTGCGATGTCACATGTAGTCTGTAGCAGTATCACCTGTAGCATGTAGTCTGTAACAATATCACCTGTAGCATGTAGTCTGTAGCAATATTAGCTGTTACCTGTAGCACAGTTTGAACTTCTTTGTCGACAATATAATGAACTTAAGGCCATTTTATGCGCAATTTAAGGCATTGAGCCAGGCCCATATTGAGAAAATTTCTAAATCATGGGTGACTATAAATGGATATTTTTGTTGCGGTGAACGAAGACAAATTATAGACGAAGACAATTATAATAAATTCATAAAATGACCCAAATATTCTGAAATTATCTAATCTGCTGTTAATAAGGAGTTTGTAATAGACAAACGTACTAATATATATAAATGATTTGCTACTAATATGAAACCTAAGAATCTGCGGTCAAAGATGAGGCGACATTGCGATCTGCGAATCCTAATTATCAATCTGGATTCTGAGTTGCTGGATTAGTGCTTAGATCATTATTTTAATTTAAAATTGATCAATAGTTTTGTATGTATACGTAAATGCAAGTATGCGAAACTTACATAATCAATTACAAATTTAAAGAGCCACAGAACAAATGCCTTGAAAGCTTTAAGGTAAATTTCAGGATAAATATTTAATTAAAATTGCACGTATGTACCGCAATGGTAATCAACAAGAAAGAAAAACTTTCGTTACATTGTGAAATTTCCGCAAGAGGGAATTCACGGGAAATTCAAACACGCAAAAATAGACACACAATTCAGATGTGCGCAGCTCTCACATGGAACAGACTATTCCATGATATGCTTAGATAATCAAACAAGATATTCCTTAAATTACAGCAATACTCACCCTAAAGTTGTCGCCATGTTTGGACGAGAGCATATGAGCCACCTCCCGGAGATGCATCGTGTAGGCCGATCCATCGAGATCCGGTGGGAACGCCAGTGAGATGATCCTCTCAGTGACGTACACAAGATCCATCCTCTGAGCCGTATTGTATCCTTGCCGCGTGAGATCCTCCCGAAGAGATCCTCCCCTGCCGTGTGCGATGCTGTGCCCCACACGGAGGCTGCTGCCCCCCGACACGGTGGGCATGGCACACGGGAGGGTGCGCGTGTGCGGCAAAGTCGAGGACGACCCGCTGCCATTCTTGTAGGACGGTCCGAACGACACGCTGATGATGCGGTTCAGGCGCGCCGCCGACTGCGTCTGGTGGGTAGAAGGCAACGAGGAGGTTAGCATCCATGGCAAGTTATAAGTTAAAGTGGATGGCTGCGTGTGGTGGCTGAAAGTCAACAAGGTGGTTAGCATCCATGGCATGTTATAAGTTAAAGTGGATGGCTGCGTGTGGTGGGTGAAAGTCAACAAGGTGGTTAGCATCCATGGCATGTTATAAGTTAAAGTGCATGGCTGTTGGGGCATTGAGCGTCTGGTGGGTAGAAGACAACGAGGTGGTCAGCATCCATGGCATGTTATAAGGTAAAGTCCATGGCTGTTGGGGCATGGAGCGTCTGGTGTGTACAAGACAACGAGGTGGTTAACATCCATGGCATGTTACAAGATAAAGTCCATGGCTTTTGGGGCATGGAACGTGTGGTGGGTATAAGACAACGAGGTGGTTAACATCCATGGCATGGTATAAGTCAAAGTCCATGGCTGTTGGGGTATGGAGCGTCTGGTGGGTAAAAGACAACGAGGTGGTTAGCATCCATGGCATGTTATAAGTTAAAGTGGATGGCTGCGTCTGGCGGGTGAAAGACAATGAGGAGGCTAGCATCCATGACATGTTATAAGTTAAAGTGGATAGCTGCGTCTGGCGGGTGAAAGACAATGAGGAGGCTAGCATCCATGGCATGTTATAAGTTAAAGTGGATAGCTGCGTCTGGCGGGTGAAAGACAATGAGGAGGCTATAGCATCCATGGCATGTTATAAGTTAAAGTGGATGGCTGCGTCTGGCGGGTGAAAGACAATGAGGAGGCTAGCATCCATGGCATGTTATAAATTAAAGTGCATGGCTGTTGGGTACAGCTACGTCAGACGGGCAATAGACAACGAGGAGGTTAGCATCCATGGCAAGTTATAAGTTTAAGTCCATGTCTGTTGGGACGTGCATGACTGCTTCTGGAGGGCATAAGCCAACTGGGTGGTTGGCATAGTGGCATGTTATAAGTTAATGCCTTCGTTGGAGTTTCAAATATATTGTTTATCTCTCTCGTGAACAATCTCATCGAAACGGTAAACGCAGAAAATTTTAAGCTTGAGAGTTAGAAACGTGTTAGGATTGCATTTTCAAGACAAGTCATGGCTTTAGAACCCAATCGGTACACGAGTATCGAAAATTCATTATTTTTCTTAGCAGTTTACAATAAGATGTCAGTGAAGCATTTGAACAATGCCCTGCTAATATTTTCATTGGCAGAAAAATTACCGTGCCAAAAGTTATATGCACAATTAAAAACCAAAAATGTATTGCATATTTGCCTTTCAGTTACGTATTATTAGTACCACTAGTAAAATGAAATTTTTTTGCGTCCTAACTCTATTAAAGCTCAGATCTCTAAAAGCACGCGGCAGACGGCGACCAGCGGTGATTTATCTTTGCATGGAGCGGCTTTTTCCATGTAACAGAGTAGCCAAATTGTATCGCTCCACTTACAAGTCGCATCGCTCGTAGCCTTACGATGCAGTCTGATTGAATTTCCTGACATTGATTTCACTTTAAGATCTTTACACGTGCACAAAGAACGCCTAATATAACCTGTTTTTTACTTACATTTAACCAAAATGACACTCAGAAGAGATATTGAAACAAAAGACTAGTATAAGTGCATCATTGTTGTTCATTTAGAAAAGCAGCGGAGCGTAGTGTAGTTAAACATACAAATATAAGCTAAAAAGCCATTGGCCCTGCAGCGATACGAAAAATAAGAGCGATTTAAGGTGCTTCATCGGAAGAAGAGAGAACTGAAACTGGCAAAACTATTTAAACCAAGCTATAAGAGAGGGCTCCCTATACTGCATACAGTAGAGCACCAAGCTATACGAGAGGGCCCGTATACTGCATACATTAGAGCACCAAGCTATACGAGAGGGCTCCGTATACTGCATACAGTAGAGCACCAAGCTATAAGAGAGGGCTCCCTATACTGCATACAGTAGAGCACCAAGCTATACGAGAGGGCCCGTATACTGCATACATTAGAGCACCAAGCTATACGAGAGGGCTCCGTATACTGCATACAGTAGAGCACCAAGCTATACGAGAGGGCCCCGTATACTGCATACAGTAGAGCACCAAGCTATACGAGAGGGCCCGTATACTGCATAGTAGAGCACCAAGCTATACGAGAGGGCTCCGTATACTGCATACATTAGAGCACCAAGCTATACGAGAGGGCCCGTATACTGCATACAGTAGAGCACCAAGCTATACGCGAGGCCCCGTATACTGCATACAGTAGAGCACCAAGCTACACGAGAGGGCTCCGTATACTGCATACAGTAGAGCACCAAGATATACGAAAGGGCTCCGTATACTGCATAGTAGAGCATAAAGCTATACGAAAGGGCTCCGTATACTGCACACAGTAGAGCACCAGGGTATAGAGAAGGCCCCGTATACTGCACACGGTGTAGCTACAAACTAAAAAAAAACAAACTGACAAAACTATAACCTCAAAAAGAAAATTTAAAACGCTTATCCCTGCAATATGCAATTCCTCGGCAATGATTGGAGCCGTAAGCAATAGCAACGTGAAATATAGTATATTACATATCTTCTGAACTACAGCATTGGCCGTAAAATAGCCGAAGTAATCTATGCTGACTCGGCAGCGATCGGAACATTGACTGCTAACTAACTGTATGTTTGGTTAGAAAAAAAATAATGGAGCAAGGAAAAGCTACATGAATGTTTAAATAATGTATATACGATATACGTAGATTGAAGAGAAATAAAAATGGAAGCACTAAATAGAGGAGGACTGAGACCGAAGGCACTAATTGTTCTCTTAGAATAAAAAAAATATGGTGATACTTAAAGCTACACGATAGCAGGCAACGCTAATGCATGGGAAGAAAACAACAAGAAAATCGAAAGATAATTTTAATAACGGGCAGATAAATGTTATGCGTAAATAACGTCAGCAATAAACACGAGCGATACAACTTGTCATGAGAGCGATATTAGGAACGACTTAGAGGCAATCAATGGCATGCGTCTGCAGCTTGATGTTGCAGCTTGTCAGCAGCTGCAACAACTGCAACATCAACAGCAGCAGAAACTGAAGCAGCATCAACATCAACATCTTCCGCAACAGCAACAGCATCAGCAGCTGCAACAACTGCAACATCAACAGCAGCAGAAACTGAAGCAGCATAAACATCAACATCTTCCGCAACAGCAACAGCATCAGCAGCTGCAACAACTGCAACATCAACAGCAGCAGAAACTGAAGCAGCATCAACATCTCCAGCAACAGCAACAGCAGCATCAGCAGCAGCAGCATCAGCAGCAGCAGAAGCAGCCAAGCAGCAGCCACAGCAGCAGACAAAATACATCATCAATATCAGCAGCAACAGCCACTGTAGCAGCAGCAATAACGGTAGCCAGAGCAGGTGCATCATAAGCCACAGCCGCAGCAGCCACAACAGCAGCCAAAGCTGCGTCCTTATGACCTCATAATGAGTTTAGGATTTCTCAGTACGCAGCCACGATGATGCGCCGCCTTCGTCGTCCTCTGTCTCCGAGTCGTCACTAGGCAGGTCACCCCGCCCTCGGGTCGCGGATGTAACGTTGGACGTGTTCCGTCGATCTGCCTTTCTTTGGGCCAGCTCATGCATGATGCTGTTGCTCGTCGCTTGCATAACTGGAAGATCCCGGATCTCGCTCAAAAACTTTCCAGTCGTCTCTTGAAAGTCGCATGGTTGAACTCCCATCCTCTCAGCACCTTTGGTAAGGCGTTAAACAACCTTGATCCTACCACGGACAGTGATCCATCACGAAGAGTGTGTACTCTGGCCACAGCTCGGTTATTAAAAGAGGGAATGTTGCACAGTCTCCCCTTTCTTTCGTTGTAATGTCACTAATTTGGAGGTTTCACTTTCCAAGATGGGAGCGACTTAGGTTATCATCTTAAAAGTGTACAGTATGATATACCTCTCTCTTCTCCCCTCCGGTGAGTACAGTCCTAGAGGATTCAGCCTGTCCCAGTAATTCAGCTCCAGTTCTCTCATGCCGCTGATCCTGGACGTGAAGGACCGCTGGACTGACTCCAGTTTCCGCACCGCGCCCGCTTTGAGCAGCGTTCAAAGCTAGCAGCAGTACTCAAGATTGGGGTGCACGAGGGCTCTGAAGAGTGTTTTTTATCCGCCGCGCATTGGTGCTGCTTCTCTGTTCGAAATATCCGCCACCACATCCGTTGTCTGACTCCCGTAAATATTTCCTCGAAAGTGGCTTCGGTATTCATCAACACTCCGAGATCTCGAACAAGTTGCTTCTCCTCAATTTCTGTGCCCTTCGATGCCAAGTGTGTCATGCCGGTCTCTGTGCAGACTCTGCGCCGTCGCGGCAGCAGCAATAGCCAATTAATGCAGCAGCAGCCACAGCAGTAGCCACAGCTGCAGCTGCAGTCACAGCTGCAGCTGCAGCCACAGTAGTAGCCACAGCTGCAGCCACAGTAGTAGCCACAGCAGCATCAACCACAGCAGCATCAGCCACAGTAGCATCAGACACAGCAGCATCAGCCACAGCAGCATCAGCCACAGCAGCATCAGCCGCAGAAGCATCAGCCACAGCAGCATCAGCCACAGCAGCCTCAGCCACAGTAGCATCAGCCACAGCAGCATCAGCCACAGCAGCATCAGCCACAGCAGCAGCAACTGGAATGCCCAGGCTTGGCAAGCGTCCAAGACGAGGCAGCGTCGCTACGTAAGCAACACGTCAACAAACGAACAAAACGTCAAGCAGCTTGCTAATAATTACAATTATTCATTACATTAATGCAATTAAAGTTACAAAAAATAACAAATAATGTTACAACAAATTACAAATGATGTTGCACGTACTAACAGAGAGTAAAAAAAAACACAAAACGGAAATACCCCTTGTCACATCGAAGGCTAAAATAAAAAATATAACTCAGTACTCACTGCAGTGAGTGACAGAGAGCGCATTTTCTCGTCGACGAAAACGTGAAGTCACGGACGG